ATTCTTACTGCAACACCAACATCATCAATGGCTGCCACGATATCTCCTTTCTGCAATCCAGCGCTATTGAACTTGATAAAGTTGCACTTCTTCTGACTGTACGAGCTAGCTTGTTGATCGGGATGGTAACCCAGTCCAAAATGATCATGCTTCTCTAGCACATTCAAGATTTGCCTCCAACCAGGCAAGGCACCTTTCTAAATGGTCAATTTAGCACTCTTGACAGATGTCATGGTCATTTTAGGTGATCTACTTGGATTGATAGAAGTGGAGCTGACATCTTCAAATTCAAGACATTGCAACAACACCTCAGCTATGCCTGCATAAATCTCGACATATTGAAAGGATGATACCTCGATCACTAGCAAATCTTCTTCACCATAAACGATGACCATTTATTCGTCAAACATGAATTTCAGCTTCTGATGCAAAGTGGAAGTAACTGCCCCTGCGACATGAATCCAGGGTCGACCCAATAAGCAAATGTATGCAAGATTAATATCCATCAGTTGGAAAGTAATGGTAAGCAAATGTGTCCCGATCTTAATGGGTAGATCCATTTCGCCAATAACTTGTCTTCTAGAACCGTCAAAAGCTATGATAATTAAAGCGCTTGGCCTGATCTCGTTCCCTTCTACCATTAGTTGACTCAATGTGCCCTTAGGCATCATATTGAGAGAAGAACTGGTATCCACAAGGACGCGAGAGAACAAGGAGTCCATACAAGTTACTAATTATGTAAGGCTCTATTATGGGCAGTTCCTTCAGGAGTCAACTCTGACTCGTTGAAACCCAAATACTGACTTGCAATTATGTTTGCTACTACGTCATCTAACTGCTCTATGGGAGTATCGTGCATTACATGAGCAGTGTTCAAAACTTTTAACAAAGCCTATTCGTGCGCGGGCGAGCTCATGAGTAAAGACAAGATTGAAATCCTCGAAGGAGTTTGCCACAACTGATCCACAATCTTAAAATCGCTCTTTTTGATCAACCTGGGAAACTCTTGATCATCTATTACCTCTTTACTTTTTTTAGTATCCATAGACAGAGTGACTGGCACTGATGCAGCAGTTGATGCCTCTTGTTACACAACAGGGGTTATTGAAGCAGACTTCTCCTTGGGAGGAAAACCAGTTGGAACTTGGACTGGCTTAGATGTGACCTTCAGAGAAAACACTCGTCCCCTCCGAGTCATCCCTCTAGTAGCAGTTAAATTCACAATTTCAAATTCTAAAAACTGAATTTCTCGACCCCTAGAAAACATGGTGGAACCATACTTCCAAGGAACCTCTTTTTAATTCTGATACGAGAACGGTTTTGGCTCACAAGTAGTGACAGGCTGTATTTTCTTCTTAGGAGCTTCTACAGGAACCTTCCTATATATGATCGTGAATGGCTCAATAGTAGCTACCTTTTCCACTGACTTGGCTCTGGAAAACTGAACCACACCCCAATTCATTAAGATTTGAACACAACCCTTCAACCTTCGGCACTGATTGGGATTATCATCACAGATCTGACACTTTCAATGAAGACCTTTCAATAATCCTTGTTCTTTCAACTTCTTGATCACAACAGTCATCAGAGGTTTCACTTTGTCAACATCTCTGATCAATTCATCCCCTTGATCATCCTCAATCATATTAACCCCAATTCTACCATGAGTAGGCAAGGGATTAGTTTGTATATTAAGACACTCTTCAACAAATGTCAGGATTTTCTAGTCAATAAGCTCTTGAACCTTTGTCTTGAAAACAATGCAGTCTTCTATAGCATGTCCTATGTACCCAGAATGATAAGCACATGATGCATTTGGGTTATGCTTCGGACCATAAGGAGGAATTTTATGCGCGATCTCTTTGGGAACAATTGCCCCTTGATGAATCAGATAAGGAAATAGCTCTGTATACGGCACGGGAATTTTGTCAAAATTCAGACGCTTGTGGTTGTTCTGATTGTTGTTATTTTGTCTATTCTGATATTACTGATTTTTGTTATTTTGTTGAGATTGTGGACATTGCGATTCTTGTTGATTCTGAGAATTTTGAACTCCTTATCGCGGATGATACTGACGACGGTTGTTGATATTGGGCAGCAGCAACATAAGGATAAGGAAAATATGGCATGAGAGCCATGGGAACCTGATATTGAGGAGAGGCTTTTGCCATTACATCATTTGCTTCACCTTCTTTCTTCTTCGAATAACTGCTCTGAGATTTCTTGGTTGATTGTTGACCAGCGGTACTAACAATCCTGCCAATTTTCAGCCCATTCTCAATTCTTTCACCAATAGTCACAATATCAGCAAAGTTTGACGAAGAACTGCCCACCATTTTCTCATAGTACAACCCTTGCAAAGTGCCCATAAAGATATCAACCAACTCAGTGTCAGAAAGAGCAGGTCGTACACGAGAGGATATTTCGCGCCACCTTTGTGCATATTCCTTGAAAGTTTCAGTTGTACGCCGAGCCTGATTCTGTAATTGCAATCTGGTAGAAGCAAAATCGAGATTATACTTGTATTGTTTCAAGAATTTTTTTGACAAGTCTCTCCATGAGCAAATCTTGCTACACTCTAATCCCATATACCAATCCAAAGAAGCTCCAGACAAACTATCTTGGAAGCAATGAACCAGTAATTCATCGTTGTCAATGTAGAATGCCATCTTTTTGTAGTACATAATCACATGACTGCGAGGACAACTCAAGCCTTTGTACTTTGGCAATTTTGGAATCTTGAATTTTTGTGGCAGCACAACATTAAGAACCAAACACAAGTCTTTGGCTTCCATGCCAAAAGCAGAATAACCTTCAATCGCCCTGATTCTTTCATCCAATAATTTATAGTCAGCGGATCTGTTATGATCATTAGGTCTGACAAGAGTCTGTGGATTTGGAAGTTGTGATGCGGCTGGAGCAGGTATCTGAGAAGAATTCTTGAACTTAGGCTTGAAATGTTGACTTTTTTTGTCAAACCTCCTTGAACAAACTTGGAACCTTGGATATTTTCTTTCATTTCAAGGCACACTGATAATCATATGGACTCAAAATGATGTACCCTTGATTTTCTTTTGATGAAGCTTGCAATGGCTTGAAGAAGCTTGTTGATGGAGACATGGAAATAAACACTTGAACCTTGGAAATTCCTTGAGAAACAAGCCATCCAAACTTAAGATATATTTGATCAAATGAAGTCGAATGATGCTTGAGACTCTATGATTTGAGAATAGATTTGATGCTTTGATTAATAACCTTTGAAGATTAATGGTTGACCACACTTTGATTCGAGGAACTCAAACCCTAGCTGAGTATACATTCACTTGATGCTCTTGATTCCAAACCCTACCTTGCAAAAGACACAAAAGGGGACAAATCATATTTTGTATTTTGATTAGAGGTTCGTTAAATGTAAAGCATATAAGTACAAAAAGAAAGATACACAAAGAGGTGTTTGGTGATCTCTACAAAGGTAAACCCAAAGGTGAGAGGGTTAGAAGACAAACAAGTTTGTGATCTTGATGAATTGTAAAAATGCAATGAGGTGGGATCTTAGAGGTAAAATTTAGGGTATGATACAATACACAAACGTTTGATTCATGAAATGAAATAAAAGTCAACATAAATATTTAGAAAGAGATACTACCACAACTAACCAAGAGAGAGAGAGAGAGAGAGAGAGAGAGAGAGAGAGAGAGAGAGAGAGAGACCAAGAAATGTAGTGTACTTCGAAGATGAGGAAGAGACAAAGAAATTTTTTTTCTAAGAAATGAATGAAGAGGGTGAAAATTGGATGTTCCAAATGAATGAAAATGGTGAATATGAAGATTTCGCTATCACTGCCATCTGGTTCGCTAGGGCATGTGTTATGAAGGAAATAAAGAACCTGATATATTTTAGTTTTGCAGTAAAGAATTTTGTCACAGTTGCCAATACCAACCACAGTGAATATGACACATATGATAGCGGTTGATAAAAATAATCGATACGTGTTTTTTATAGAAAAAAATGGAAAATATTGATGTTGGAATTCAAAACTTATAACCCTTAATCTATCATCATCATCATCATAATAATAATAATAATAATAATAATAATAATAATAATAATAATAATAATAATAATAATAATAATTATTATTATTATTATTATTATTATGAACCATGATAAAATTTATTTTAATAAAATAAAATAAAAATCAGGCAATTAAAAATAAGATATTTACAATGGCCGTCAAGTTGAGATTCAAAACTTATAACCCTTAATCTATCATCATAATAATAATAATAATAATAATAATAATAATAATAATAATAATAATAATAATAATAATAATAATAATAATAATAATAATAATAATTATTATTATTATTATTATTATTATTATTATTATTATTATTATTATTATTATTATTATTATTATTATTATTATTATTATTATTATTATTATTATTATTATTATTATTATTATTATTATTATTATTATTATTATTATTATTATTATTATGAACTATGATAAAATTTATTTTAATAAAATAAAAAAAAAATCAGACAATTAAAAATAAGATATTATTAATGTTGGTACAATGGCCGTAGTAATATGTTCCTCAAGTTGAACTGAATGTTGTAAGTTAAATTGAATGTGCTAATAAGGTTATATTACGTTTTCTACTCTTTGTTAATATAACATTGATGGCAAAATAGAGAATGTGTGTTATATCTCACGAAATGCATATGATAATATATAACCTTATATAATAAAACACTTATCAATCTAACAAAAATACATATTAAAAATTTCATCAATATTATTGCTCAAATTACAAAATAGATCCCACACAATATTTTGGAGAATAATTTAGGTTATGAACATACCCTCTGTGTTTATTCTCATACAATTCATCTCATTATCCCATTTTATTAAGTGCTCTAACAATATGACTATCTTTATCATCTAAAACTTGAACTAAAAAATAACATCAATGATTCTTCACTCTTGTTCAAATCTCTCCATCATAAATTTCCTTAAATATCTGCGCCATCCATTGATTACCAAGAAGTGCTCTCACGTGTTTCTTAAACACTTCCATGTTCATACCATCCTTCTGGAAAAAAACATGCCATAGAAAATTGCAACATTAATTAAGCATCATAATATAAGATTCATATGCAAAAACTAATATCTGATTAAACCCAACTTGCCTTATAGATATCATATATATCTTGAAGTGGAGGAATGAATTCAATAGGTACTCGTTTCTTCATCTCTAAATAAAACCTAGGAACCATAGTCATTTCCACTGGTTTCATTTCCCATACCACTGCAAGTAAATTATTCAAACACTTCATATATATACAAGATTTTATATATAGTTATATAGCATACATAAAATTTCATAAATGAGATATAAGAAATTTTAGATTAGAATTACCATCTTTAATAACAGAAGTTTTGCATGTGATGACACAAACCGGAAGTACACGCTTGTTGATATCATTGCCCCAAACCACATACCAATGAGGGTTTTTAGGATCATCACAACCACTGTCATAGCCTTTATTAGAAATTTGAGTTTGATGAGTCTCAAGATCAACTCTTTCCATCCTTCCCAACACAATTCGACAAAGTACGAGATATTTCTCTTCGTCTTTCTCCACCTGATGTTGCATCCCGCTACAACACAAATACAAATTCATAGATCACATTTTTAGAAATTTTCGAGTTAATTGTTATTCTAACCATATTAATTATCGTGAATTGTTTGTGTATTGAAGAATTTTATACATAAAAAACATGAAAAATTAAAGTACCTGTACTGAGGTGACTTTAAGTCGGCCAAAAAAATACCAGCTCCAATGGACGGGCGCACTTCAGGATAATTTCTGATTAACTTAAAGCCATTGCTGAAAATGGATACAACTTTCTCTTCCGAAGCTGCATACCAACCATAAACGACATTTGCCTTACCTCTTGCAGCTTCTGTAATCTCCATTTGCTTTTCGAAAACACTCCAACGAGCCCTTGCAATGGGGCTAAGGATATGTAGATCATGAATACTTATGATACTGGCATTAGGATCAATGTTGCCAATATTGTCCATGAACAAATTGTTTATATATAAGTATGTATTTTCAGTCTTACTCAATAGTCTTGTGTTTGGAAACTTTGATGCATGTTTGACTCCAACAATAACAACTTCGTCATCGTTGTCAGAATCGAGTTTTTTCGTATTGATTCTATCAGCATCATTAGTTTTAGCTATTTTTGAGAAATCACAATCGATAAATTTTCCAGGAAAGAATGGTTTACCGTTTTCGTCAAACCATGCAATGGATCTATGGCTCTTTGTTCGAACGTGGACTTGTAGCATGCGTAAAAAATCGAAGGCGTACTTTAAGCCTTCAATCTTTAAAGGCACAATTGTCTTTCCACTTGCAAAACCGTTTCGTAGAGACTCCAATACTTCACCTTTGAAATCATCCCAGACCTTGTTTTTGAAGAACATGATTCTCACCGGCACTTCACTCCGTGCAAAGTTTCTCCTGTTGTGAAGGAGGAACTCGTCGATGCAAGCCTGATTTTGTTTGGCGTCTTGGTTTAAATCTATAAGTGGATTCAGTGGTAAATGTGGCTTGTTATCAAGGTGTATTTTATTAAAATCTATGAATGAATTCAATGGTAATGATACTAGTGGACGCGATAATGATAGTGGTGGTTGAACTATTGATAAAGGCTGTGCAGATGATGGTATTGGTGGAGGAGCAATTGATAAAGGTTGTGGAATATATGGTAACGTAGTTGGTGACGGTTGTGGATGAGCTATTGATATAGATGATGATGTTGATGAATGTGGAGATGTTAGTGGTGGACGAGCGGTGGTTGAAAACTGTGATGAAGCCATTTGTGGTGGAGAATTAGGATCTGCCATGGAAGCAACAAGAACCCTAACTTAATTATATTAAATCTTGATAACTTTTGTTTTGAGATTTATTTGATGATGATATTCGTAAGATAGTTGTGTTTGTTATATAGATGATGAATTATGAATTAAATATTGACACTAATCATTTTACTTTTTAAGAATAATTTTTTAAAGATATTTTTGTTAATTTTTTCATACACTTAATTTTAATCTATTTTTATTTTGTGTGGTGTCTATTCACAATGTTTACAAAATATGTCCAAATATGAGAATATATTCTAGAAGGATACATTTTTGTTATGCTTATCTGTAGTCTACTTGGAGAAGGGGAGAAATGTATATAATATACCATCATTTATTTATGTACATTTTCATGTAATTTATTTAAAATATTTGATGAATTTTTATCTTAAAATATTAATGGTAAAGTTTAAATTTCGTTTGAGAGAGTTGTAAAAGATAGATATTAAAGTTATTTTATTTAATAAGATTTATATATTTTTGATATTTTTTAATGTAAAATAATATAATTATAATGGTCAATATCATAAATTCATTTGTGGTATAGATATGTTAGTCAAATTAAAATTAAAAGTTTAGACATACAATAGTTAATAGATTTTTAATAACTCGGAATATTATTGATTCAATGATTGGTTTTAAAATAAAATTTTCAATATTTATATCATAAAAATTATTTTAATATTTTCTAAAGAAAATTATTTTAATGATTTATCATTGCTTAATTTGTAAACAGTTATAAATATAGATGGACCAAATACTAAGGACTTAATTACGTTTATTATATTTTATAATTATATTTAAAAATAAAAAAAGTAAGGCTATTTTTAGTCAAAAAATAATAATAAAAAAGAAAAATGTATATACATTAACAAGTAAAAGAAATTTATAATATCAATCAATAAGAAACGTATATTCTTATTCAATCATACTTTTAATTTTAAAATACTTATATAACATAATTAAAATATTATAATTCTATTAAATAATAGTGTAAAATTATTATATAAATTAATCTCACAAAATTATTAAATTTATTTTTTAAAATAAATTAGTCAACATTATATGACTTAGTTCAAATGCTCAGTTGAATTCATTTTATTATCATGAATCGTAAAATTTAAATAAACTTACTATGCTATGGAGGAGAATCAATATTATTATTATTATTTTCACTTCAATTTATTTTTCTATATAGTTAAAAACAGGTTAGAAATGCAATATAACAGCTTGTGATATATTTTTAATAAAAAAAGGTCATTCTTCATACAATTGAATTTTACTATTCATCATATAGTAAATTGAACAGATTCCACACTCTACTGCATTGGAAACCGCAACCCGTCATCAGTGTCATTCATTCTCTGGTTTTAAAACCAAACAAATAATATTTCATTCATATAAAAATTCTCAACATTTTTTTAATATAAGTAATAATTCTAACTTTTAAATTTATAGAAAATTTTTATAACAAAATAAATAGGAATATATTAACTTATAAAACAAAACCATTTTTATATAAATTCTGTTTCATTGAAATCAAAATCACCAACATTTTAATGTAAAATATTAACTAATACACAATTTTTAAATATATTTTAATATATGTTTAACTATATATGCATTTTTACTATAAATTACTTTTCTTAGAATAATGAATTAAAATTATTATAAAAATAAGAATCATTATTTTCCATTTAATCAAAATGTAATATGAGGGATTATGTTAAATTTTGAATAAATATAGAAATTATTTCTTAAAAGAATAAATATATAGGAATTTGTTTATAGAAAAATAAATAGGTATGCATTGATTTATAGTACATCGAATAAAATATATAAAATACAAACACTATTAAGTACATTGTATTTTATTCAAAGCAAAATTTATCTTTTTCTTTTTTAGAAATGCGATGTATATATTTTAGTTCAAGAATCACAAGTGAGTTGAGAAACGGTGGTGATGGTGAATTAATATTTTTTATGCGGTGGAGTGGAGGGACCTACGAGGTTATCACTTTAACGCTCAAGTTAGTATGTGAGAAAGAAGTGTAAAGTAAAAGTGAATTTGAAACTTATTACCTCAATGTGACGCCACTTCTATACACATACACACGCGCGCGCGCGCGCACACACACACACACACACAGAGAGAGAGAGAGAGAGAGAGAGAGAGAGAGAGAGAGAGAGAGAGAGAGAGAGAGAGAGAGAGAGAGAGAGAGAGAGAGAGAGAGAACTAAAGAACTTGTTATTTGTTAGGACTGGATTGCAGAGAACTATTGGATGTACTCGAAGTTGAGATCCTTTGTGATCAGCAAGATGATAATTCTCGTGTGTTAAGAAAATTCTAGAAGGAGCGAGGTCCTTTCGCGGTGGTTGGACAAGTCGATATGACCGACACAGAACAGTCACTCCCTAGTGCCCAGATTGACAACTTCAATATCCTACTGATGAGGCAAAATGATAATTTCCTCCTGCTTCAGAAGTCTAGCTAATTCCTCAAGCAGTTCACAATCTTCATCAGTCTTTTCTTCAGCTTGATAAATGGGATTATCAAAGTTATGCTGAGTCATAGCTGAATCATTACCGGTGGAATTTAGGCGGTAGATCTGTATGAGTGATGTTTAATGTTTTATTAAGGATGCAACAATGAACAAAATAAAAACACAATCATCATTTTTCTTTTAATAAAATGTAAAAACAAAAAATATGAAAAATAGGGAGTGAAACATTTGAATGCAAAACGTTATTTATTCATGGTGACATTGAAAATAAAAACAATGTAGTCCTACAGAATGAGTCACTACGTCTTGGGCAGAACGTAGGACTTAACATATGCAAAGACAATAAAAATTACTCTTCATGGGTGACCAAGATGACTTCTTCGGCAAACCAGTTGCATAACTCCTTACCTGGAACACAGGGATGGATCCTGTAACAGCCCAAATTTCATTAAATAATTAATTATAGTAATTAATTGATTTAGTGGGATTTTTATTAATGTTGGAATTAATTTTTATTAATTGGTATGGATAGAAAATTAAGAAGGAATTGGAGTGGAAGGAAAATGAAGAAAATATATAAGAGAGAAAGAAAAGAAAAGAAAGATAGAAAACATTTGGAAAGAAAGAGGAAAGAAGAAGAAGGAGAGAAAGAAAAGAGAAGAAGAGGAAAAGTGGAAATCATCAAGAACCAACATCAAAGCTCTGATTAATCGAGGTAAGAGTGAGAAATGTTTCTATTTGATCATTGTATGATGTTATGTATGTTGGGTTGGGGTTTTGGTAGAGTTTTCATCACTTTCCAATTAGGGCAAATGTTGGATAATCGGTAGATTGATGATTTAATCGGTTGAAACTGAGTAATAATGCTGTAGAATAGTCGGGTAACATGTATTGATGCTGTTTATACTGATTTGGATGTGTAAGAGAGGGTTGATGATGGATTGGTGAAGGAGAAGACAGAATAGGGTTCTGTTCTGCGCAGGTTCGCTGGCTCTCGCCAGGCGAGCAAAGGCGAAGCTTCGCCAGGCGAAGCTCAGCGAATGTTGGCGAATAATTATAAGTTAAATCCCAGTGGACTTCGCTGGCGAGTTCGCCAGGCGAAGTTGGATAGCGAAGGTTCGCCCAGCGAAGGTGCTGGCGAATGGTGGCGAATGAAGTCAGTAGCTACTGACTTGGGCTCGCTGGGAAGTCTCGCCAGGCGAAGCCTAGCGAGTGTTCGCTGAGAGAGTTCACCAGGCGAAGGTCAGGCGAAGGTTCGCCAGGCGAATGAAGGCGAATGTGACAGCATTTTTCTTTTGCTGTGTTGATCATGTGGAGATGGTTTGGTTGTTTCACATAGGTGGATACCTTATGATATGAATATAGATATGATCTATTGTGATTATGTGTGTATGATTTAATGAATTTGCGAATGCTCGATGTGTATACAATTATGTAATGAGTATGCATGAGAACATTTTGAATATGTGTGCATAACTTGTAATTGTATGTTTGGTATTGCGATGTGAATACCTTGAATTGTTGTGATAATTGGAGATACATGGGAATACAATGAGGAATGTATGTGTATAGTCTAATGAATTGTGAGTGCATATATGTATGCGATTGTTGTGTGAATGCATGGGAACATATGTGATATGTGTGCATTGTTGTTGAGTATGATGATGTGTGAAATGAATACATTGATAAATGTTTGATATATGTTGTATGTGCAATCATGATGAAATTCTCGAAGGGGTGAATTATTCGAATGCATGGGATTAAGACGCGGGAACAGTCTTAAGTGCATTTATTGTGATTGGTTGATTGTACATGCATCATTCAGTCAAGAGGCAATGTCTGTTAGTTTCGTGGAAACTAGTGGCTTGTCCCAAACCTAGAAGGGTGGGTTTGAAGCCTAGGGGACGGGCTTGGTTGTTATCGGTCTAGAAGGGTGGACCCGGTTTAAAGTAAAAACCGAAAAATGATAACGAGTTATCGGTCTAGAAGGGTGGACCCGGTTTAGAGTGAAAACCGAAAAAAGATAACGAGAGTCGGTACCGCATAGCATTGAGTTGCATTGAATATGTTGAGTCACATTGCATAATATTGTTGTTGTACAAATGTGCTTGTGAATGATTGTGAAATTAAGCATGAAGGGATGTGCTTGTGAATGTTCATAATGTTGATATATGTGAACATGGTATGATTTATGACTATGAGAATGAAGTGTGGTGAGAAATGTGAATATGTGTTATATGATACCTATATATACGTAATCTTATGCCTTGATTATTATGGTTATATTTCTCACCCTTCTGCTGTTTTATAATGCTCTATGAGGCATTGTAGATTAGGATGCTGGAGTCCTTTTGTGAAGAATAGTCTTCATTCTTTTGAGTCTGCTGCTCTGATATGTAACACCGGGTAGTTAGACTAGTATAGTCATTCTTTTGTGATACATTGCGATGTATCAGCTTATGTGGTTTTGTAAATCTAACT